ATAGGGAACATCAAAACAAACAATACAACTATATCATTGTTATACTCACAAACACTCCTTCCATCTGTGCCTACCATGGGCTCCCTGGTTCTGGACTTGAAGGATCTGTACTCTGAGAGCCACTGCTACCATCTCCCCTTAGATTGGCAAGCAGTTGTGCTTTTGATCATTTTGATTTTGTGGCTATGAATTTTGTCTTTCTCTGGCCATCTGCCCATGTTTGGTCCTCCCAGCTTTTAAAAACCATCTAAAAACTTTAAAGGCCATCTCTGTAGCTGGTGACAATTGAAGTTTCATGGAAAGGCTGAGGGAACTGAATTTACACTAGCTATGGATCTGCCCTGAACAATATATAGTTTTTCCTGTTCATGTCACTTGGTTTTTATCTCTGAGGCTTCCCATCCCTTTTGAGCACGTTACATTATTTGACTTCTCTCTGTTTATGATATCGTGTCAAAATGATTGTGATTGTGGCACATTTTAAATGATTGTGCACCCTCCTCAAACACCTTAATGGATATATCTACATGGCAGCCTGCAGCACAGTATAGAAACACCCGGACTAGCATTAAATGGGCTTTCCTGAGAACAAGTTGTATGGTGTACCAGAGATCAGCACAAGGTAATTCATCCTGCATCTAGGCTGCAGCCATGGTCAGTCTGCTTATGGTATATGAGCTAGCTCATTTACACCTAGCTGAGGGGTCTCTACTCAGTATCTGATCACTCTACAATAAAGTAACCATTATGATTTATTGGAACTGCTCAAAAATTGAGACATTTTCACAAAAAAAAACCTTTTGCTGAAAGCTTTTGAAGGCTGGTATTGTTACTTCCTCTCTTGTTTACCAGTAATAATAGCATATATTATGTGCAGACTGCTTCAATACAGTTTGAGATGGATTTCCTACTCTTAGGAACTTAATTACTGTATTTAGTTGAATATAAGACAAGCCCCAAGAATTAGATTCAGTATATGGAAAAAGTATAAATTATAAGTTTCCAGGTATAGAATCTAATTCTTGGAGGTTTGCCGTGAATTTGTCCCCCTCCCACTGCTACATCAGGGAAAATAAATCAGGGAAAGTTAGGGGTCCCCTTTGCCCTCTGCCCCCACCCCCAACTTCTTCCCCTTGCAGTATCCCCACCCCCTTTACTATCAGACCCTGATTCCTTGAGCACAAAGAAGAAAAGGGCAAATTTAGAAACACTGGCTTTGAAATAAACATGCCTGTAGTTATCGGTATATAGGGAAATTATTATGGGTGCCCATAGACAGTTCATCCAGAATTGATGGATTTAATCTTGTTTGAAACTGTTGCAAGTCTTAGCATAGGTACTCCACAAACACACTTTCAAGCATCACTTTTTGTACTTACTTATAGTACAAGTCATTTTTTTTTTAAGGAAAATTTTTCATGTTCCAAGCCAAA